ATGTATCAATGTTATGTTATAAAACAAATGGTAAACACCACAGCGTACACTATTGAGTTATGGATGCACTTGGGAGGTTTGCTAAGCACTCAAGAAGCTAGAGTCGCTCTCGGCTATCACCTCGCGCGACTCTTACGCTTCTTTCGTGCTTAGCAACCTCCCGCGTGCATCCATAACTCGATAGTGTACGTTGTGGTGTTCACCATTTGTTAAGGCGCTCGCATGTAGAATTCGTGAAAAACTCGACAATTCATTTTTTTTGAAATTTTTTGGTATAGTCTGATAGCCAGTCCTATAAGCTTTAATTTGATCAAAGGGGTTTAGATATCTACAGTTTAAACCGGACGCGCTACATCGCTTCCACACGAGACACCCCTGAAGGTGCACGGTAACCTTAAGTATGTATGAATTTCTTTCAGTCGTCAACACCAGCATTCTTTTGGATGTTTTCCTAACAACTGTGATATAATTTGTGGGTAATAAATTATGCACTATGGGGAATTAATTATGCAGGTTGACATCCAGTCTCCTTGGTGGGTTGAAGCTCTTCATTCTGTGGCAGACAGAGGACTGGATACTGACCTCGGTCAAAGAGTCAAAGATGAATTGTCATCCACTGACATGGATCTGGGATCTATTGGAAGGTATTGAACGGATCATCTTATTCAGGCATTGATTAGCGAGGATCGAGGATCAAAGATCGAGGATCGAGGATTGAGGCGCTTGAAGAAATTTAAACGGATCTTGATGCGCAGTTTCGTTTTAATTATCGCACGCTGTGCTTGACACAGTGCTTCTCTTTTGACAAGCTGTTTGCACGTATGCAGATATTTTCATATCGCACACTGTAAAGAAAACAGCAATGGCCATAAATTTGTGAGGTTTTTTTTTCAGCTTACATGACCTGATCTTCTTTGTGATCAATCAAACACAATATATTGGCCATGTTAGTTCAGACAGTCAGGATTTCCTCATTTTGACTGCAAGTCTTGTTTTTGTGAGCAAACAGTTATGGTTGTTAGTACTAAATCATTTTCGTTTTGCACAAGTTTGAATTAATTGTACTAATTTGTTATGTTTTCGCTACAGATTTACGAACCTTCGTGGACTGCAGTATTTAGTCTCTTCAAAGTTAGATTTGATTGAGGTATGCAGAAGTGTAAAATTTTTAAGTTATCTAGTCTAGACTTCAGTTCTCTTTCCCTCTCAAAAGCTCTGCCCAAGGGTTTGGGTGTTTTCAGGGTAATTTGTGAGCCAGCCTGCCAGCCTGAGACAGATAGATGCACAGTTAGTCATGATCCGGKGAGAAAAAGGGGCTTATTAATCCACTGGATGACGCAAACCGTATAAATGATTTCTGGTTTTACTCGATCTATTAAGGAAAACGTTGCATAATATTAGATAGGGCAAACTACAGGGCAAACTACAACATAAGCGAACTACAGTGATTAATCGCATATCATCCACCACTTTCTTCTGTGACGATATCCAGCAGATTATTCCTAATCACTCGTAAACACGGGGTGGCAGTTCAATTGGGCATCCCGTTGGCAAAATCGTATGAAACGCCGGTCAGCGAGAGAACAATTTAGCACGGAACGATTCCTTCTAAAAGTGAACTTTTAACACGTTGCGCTATCTTACGAGGTTACTGATCCCAAGTGTATCATAAACTTAATGAAAAGGGAAATTAATTCAGTCAATCAATTATGACTCGTATCTAATTATATACTTTTCTCAACGAAACAAGTCAATCAGTTAGTCAGTCAGTTTGTCAATCTGTCAGTCAGTCGGCAGTCAGTCAGTCAGCTAATCAGTCAGTCGGTCTGACAGACAGACAGACTGGCAGACTAGCAAAACTGGCAGACAGACAAACAGACGAACTAATCTACTGACTGACTGTCTGTCAGACAGATAAACAGCCGGTGAAAAATATTCAGCGATTATATGTGGTTATGGTTTTGATTTTGAATCAATCTTTTCCTTAACAGTCCACTCATAGGAACTTATTGGTAGCTCTGGACAAGCTTGCTGTGCCGCCAACTCCTCAGATGGTATTGGCTAGTGCTGAATGTTGTTTAAGGCCGGCTGAGAATAGCACTGCTGACAGGTTTGTAGTGATAATGTCGGTGACTATGACGATGACGACGATGATCGCGATGACGATGATGATGACGATGACAACCAAGATGACGATGACGACCATTCTAAAGACATCCTCAGTATTTAATTGTCAGACTTTACAGTACACTACAATAACACCAATTGAACTTAGAGATTCTCTGAGAGCCTTAGCGAACTTCGCTAAACACGTACGTCCAAAAAGCCTCGTATTCTGCACGAGCTTCGCGCTCAACCAAACTGTCTCATAAAAAAGCATAATAAACACGAAACATAAATATTCCAGAAGACACGATATATATCTGATAGTCACACGTAGCCGAATTCCTCAATAGCACGTGCACCAACGTGGCTCTCTTTAAAAGTAAAGCTATGCGCAAATAGTAGACACGCCAACACGATAACTACATCGATCACGATGACGATTTGCAATCATTATGCCCAGGCTTTCTACAGGTATTAGGTAACAACAAGTTGTGTAAGATTACCTGTAGTTCAGACTGTGCAGGTTTAAATGTGTATCACATATTTGATATTTTCTATGTAGGTGTGCCTTTTGTCAGGTGGATGACATTTTTACAGAATACGAATCACGAATATTTGGCCATCAAGGAATGAAGGGCGTCGATGAGCATAAGTAGGTATTCCTGTGTACAATAAGTTTACAATTCTCTCGACTGATTTCCGTGACTTTCTGTTTCTGTTAGTTATGAGAATCTACAGGTAAATTAACATAGTATTTCGCTTCGTATTTTGTTCAAAGTTTTCAGACTGACGACACACTTGATTGGCATCGCCATGGCAACACAGGAGGATTACGTGCAGAGTCTGAGGTCGAGAAGGTCCTGAAAGTAATACATAACTTCATCAAGACTCATAGTAAGTCAAAAACTTACTCAGTCCTTCTTAACTTGTCACACAACACTTCTACTTACTCGCGTCGCGCGTCACGCGAGAAAAGTATGCGCGTCACGCGTCACGCCCCAACTTTCCTTCTCAGTCTCCATAATGGTAGTTGTTTCGTAGGTTCCGATTGTTGTTAAAAAAGACGAGTCGCTACCCTAGTTTCCTTACGAAATGACACAACTCAAGTTAAAGTGTAGCCTGACAAGTCACGACCCTAGGCAATCTTCAAGTGGTCACACAACGGTGGTGGAGATTTTGCTTAAAGAGTCACCACTCAAATTATTTGTTTCATGTTCTTTACCAATGTTATTTTGGTGCTCTTAGGTTAGACACTTTACTCTCACAGTGCCTCTCTTCACCCAGGTGTATAAATGGGTACCGGCAATTTAATGCTGGGGGTAACCCTGCGATGGACTGGCATCCCATCCAGGGGGGAGTAGAAATACTCCTAGTCGCTTCATGCTACAGAAACCGGAGTTAAGCACCGGCCTAATGGGCCACTAGGCTCGTAAACAGACTTTACCTTTCCTTTATTTTTACAGAAACTGGGTCAACTGCACATCTTCATCAAGAGGGTCGCTTACACTTGAGCTTAATTGATGGTCTAAGAAAAGAATTTAAGGTTAGCTTTTAGGATCTGATTCGGTATTTACGTTTAACCCGTTGTACCTTAACATCAGTATGCATATTCTCCATACTGTTCTCTATACATTTCCTAAGTTGCTGCCAAGGAGAATTTGTTTATCAATCAAGAGCTTCCTTACTAGGTGATCATTTCCTTTATTCTTGTGACCTTTATGTATGATTCAGGGGTGATATTGTAAGGAGAAATTAGATGCTCCTAGGGGCCAAATGCTCGTTTATAAGTGGCGCCTCATTAAGGAGAGGGCACCGCCCAGATCCCTCGAAATGTACGGGTCCACGGCACTCAATTTGTCCTGTGAAAGAAAAAACGTACAACCACGTCGTTTAATACTCCTAATGGAGAAATTTGTTTTTATTGCGGGTGTCTTTTCGTTTTGTGTAACTTCACTGTGATTGGTCGAAAAAAGCTCGCGCCTCTAATCAGTCAAAACTAAAACTAATCACGACTTGGTCACTCAGGTTTCCCGCGCTTTAGGCAAGTTGTTTGTTTTTTACTGTTAGTTTTTATTGGCTCCTTGTAATATGTGCCTTTTTTCTGATTGGCTGTTATAAGTACTTTGGTATTGGTGTCGCAATCAAAAAAGCGCTCCATCGCGCTCAGTGATCGGTCGAGAAAAATCTCGACATCCTCTCAACCAATCAGATGCAAAACTGAAAACAAATGCGGCTTGGTTACCCTCGTTTTCCCGCGCTTTTAGGTACTTTACTTGTTTTTACTCAGAGTTCTCATCGGCTTCTTGAGATTTGTTCCCTTGTTTTGATCAGTCGTTGTAATACTTAGTTTTTGAGTGTACGAAATTTAATCGAAAGTACTCTAAGATAATTAAATACTGTTTGTTATCTATTTCTCAGTTTCTCAGAGCTCTGTGGTTTGCTCTGCGAGAGCGTATCTCTTGTCTTGACGAACTTGACATGTGTACAACTCGCCTCAGGCTTTTGTTGCCAGGAGAACCTGCCACAGATAACAACCACGTGATTCATCCTTTACAAGTACTCAAACATTTCTATATTTAACCAGTGGGCCCGGACGAGGTAGACTGGACTCCGGATTAAATGGTTCGCTTATGAGCCATGGCCGGATTATCGTGATGACCCTTGACTACCACAGTATCTTTTTCTACCCAGAATGTTAAATGATTTACTCACCACTAAGAAAAAGGAGTGATGTAGAGAAACAATTAACAATAAAAATTTTTTAGGAGACGTTTCTTAAAACATCCTTATTTGGACACAAGTGTCCACTTTTAGACACTGGTGCCCGATTTCCGCTAGTGTTCGATTTAGGACAAGTGTCCGATTTTGGATCTTGGACATTAGTGCCTGATTTTGGATTTTGGATTTTGAACACCAGTGTCTGATTTTGGATTTTGGACACTGGTAGCCGATTTCGGATTTGGACACTGGTGGCCGATTTTGGATTTTGTACACCAGTGAACGATTTTGGATTTTGTACACAAGTTGCCGATTTTGGATAATGGACTCAAGCGTCCGATTTCGGATTTGGTAGAATGGGCTGTCGAATCTTCAAATTATTCAGACTGGATACAAATCAGTAACTCTGTTATCAACTAATTGGATTATTATTTTCTTTTAAAGATAGAACAACAGCGCCTAAAGTTCATGTCGGAGAGAGTTGTTGCACAAACTGAATTGAGAAAGAAACTCGGCCAACTACTTTATCTCAAAAACTTGGCGAAGGTAGGATTTCTGATCAGATTCCATGGAGGTTTCCATCAAAAAAATAAGCCCTGGCTTTTGAAAGATAAATTTCAGGCAATATACACGAAGTATTTGTTTGCCCTATTTTCAGACCCAAACCTGTCATGACGGCAAGAACCCGGAACCATGTCCAGTTTGCACCAAACTGCTTGGAGTCCAGGTAAATAGCTCCAAAAAGACCCCTCTACTTAAGATCCTTTTGACTTATTTGGGTCCGTTCGCTTTTGTTGTCATTCTTTCAGTGGAGCGTTTTCTCTTGTGGACATTGCATTTGCTGTCAATGTTCCTGGGTGCTCCTGCGGCAGGCTGGAATTGGTCCCCGGCAAAGGAACGTACACGTGAAGTGCCCGATGTGCCGGATACCTACTCTTGCACAAGAAATTTCCTACGTCAGCACCGCAAGGAGCCAGGACAAGGATACAGAGGAGCATGTCACTGTCAAGGTTGTTTGGAGCTTCACTGTTTAGATATTAATCACTAATTCTCCTCTGTAGTTGTCATAACTTTCTTTCAGAGCAAGTTCTGAGAAATAAGTGATTCATTAGGTTAACGCGACCTTTTCGTCTCAAAATTGACACACAACTTAAAGCGCTTCTCGATTAACCTTCACAAAACCAAAACCACTGTAATACAGCAAAGGAAATTATCGCGAGCAGCTAATGAGGGTTTAAATTTGCACAAAGTAATTTGCTTAAAGCGCGGAAAAGTGCGTTTGACGAGGTCACGGTTAGTCTCGAGTCTGATTNCTTTTAGCCGGTGTAAAAGCTCCCCGAATTATTTCAATTGTTAAGTCCTGCTCAAGTTTACTGTGCAGTACTAAACTGTCGCATTCTGTTATTATTCTGTGATTAATTTCTGTTACGTACTGTTCTGATTACAACCTTTTTTCGTTTCCCTTAGTGGCAAGAGGTACTTGGTGTTTTAGCACAAGCTTTGAACGAGAATGGAATCAAATATAAACACATTACTGGCAGCCGACTTTTCCAGGTTCGTACGAAAAGCTGTCAATGAACAACAAAGCCACAGCCGATTGTCTATGGTCATACTTCATAATGTGCGCCCTTTTTTTGACTATATCTGTGAGGTAGAGGGCATTTCGATCGAGTGTCTAACGACCAAAACTAACGTAATAACGACAGCCAATCAGATCAAAGGAAAATTTCAAAAGGAGCCAATAAGAACGAAAAGTAAAAACAAGGTAACTGTGTGAAGCACGTTAAAAGACGGGTGACCAAGTCGTGATCTGTTTGAACTTTGCGTATGATTGGTTGAAATTTCGGTGTGAGTTTTATTGACGGATCGCAAAGCCTGAGCCTAGTAAGGCATAGCTGGGAGCAGGGTACTTTGTGAGCGAGCGCAAAAAAGCGCATAAAAGTTGTTTGAGGCCCCTGCTTGTCTTGGATTTTATTGAGGGTTATGGAAAGTTGTGGAAAATTGCTGAATATGAATGATGGGGGGGGGGGGAGACTTTCAAGTTGCTTATTAGAGATGAATTTCAAGATTTCAGTTTCTGTTGTTAAGTGGAGGGATGTCAACCACCTGTTAAAAGGAAGCGTGCCACCTCTTTTGCCCTCTCGTTGAAGCTTGATTAACACCAGTTTTATTCTTTTAAGTCAAATCTGCAGACGTTTAAACAAGATTCCTCGGTAGGCGTCCTCCTCCTGCCCTTACAGACTGGGTCCAACGGTCTGAATATCATCGAGGCGACGCACGTGTTGTTAGTGGAGCCTGCAATGAACCCCGCCCATGAACTACAGGCTGTGGGGCGTGTGCACCGGATTGGACAAACTAAGTACGTTGTTATTCTTTTTACTGTTTCATATACATTTACTTCAATGTTGCTTGTGAGAAGATGTCTTTGGATCAAGTAACAACATTTTGTTGTGAGTCCTTATGGATCTTTTTTATTGTTTTGTATTTCACTTAGTGGAATTTGACTATATGGCGCACTGGCGAACTGTAGTGTGGTGAGGGGAGGAGAGGGGAGGTGGATGGGTTGGGTCACATGTGATGGACTGAGATCCCATCCGGGTGGTACAAGGTATTCCCACTCCTTCCATGTTATAGCAAGCTTAAGTAATTTGAACAGGATTTTTGTTGTTGATTTTTTTTACAGACCCACACACGTGTACCGCTTTATCACACGAGGAACTGTGGAGTCCCGGATGTACTCCTTGCTGCAGTCCAAGCCAACTAGCTGTGTCAGGTAACCGTTTTCCACCCGCACCATTTTTCCGCGCAAAAATGTATTCATTCATTGTTGTTATTCTTGTTAACGTCCGCTTGAAGAAACGTGGCGTATATGTTTTAGTTTTAGACAATTCAAAAGTAAAGTTTTGTAGGAAGTTGACCAGGTTTGGAGTCTTCAATGGAAAATTTGTCTTCTCTGAAAAGTAAAAAGTGCTATGATGCAGCCATATTGTCAAGTGGGCGTCAAAATGATATTTCCAGCCTCGAGTTTTTCAGCCCTCTCACCCAGGTTTCCCTGAAAACTGCAATGAAAGTTGTAACACATGATTTTATCTCTCTCAACAGAACTGGAGCACGTGATAGTGAGAATGCCAGTCTGACACTTCGTGACCTCGCCTCATTGTTCACTCAAGATGAAGAACGCGACGATGAGCAAAGCGTGACGGGATCGTTCGGGTTTTATGAACCAATAGGCGCACTCTCTCCAGATTAACAGCGAACTTTAACACTTGCTATTGTCCCGGAAGTTAACATACAAGTCCTTCATTTTTCATACTCAAGTAATTTTGTTTCCATGAATAGAACTACACAGTTCGATAATGTTACGTAGATCTGGCTGCGCTGAGTCGACAACATTTTTTAATAGAAGAATATTAAATGATTCCTATTTTAGCGAAATTGTGAAAATGAAGAAATATGTTGTAAGTCGGTAGATAAGCAAAAATGAAGGCAAGTAAATCAACAATTTCTTCTCTATCCTCCGGATAGTGTAGGCGGCGTAGGTTAGCGGATTTTAATTCCCCAGAGGTGGAGAGGAGCTTGACCAGTTCGTCGTCCAGGAATTCCATGGAGACGAACACAGACACATGAATTGAGCGTTTGCCCAGCAAACGGAGACGTTTTCGCACGTCGCCGTAGTCAAACCCGGCGTTTGCGAGTCGGCAGCTTTTCAGCTGATTCTAGGGTGATGTCGAAGCGTTTGCCTCCGAATTGTGGCACAATGCCGCGTATGTGTTTTGCGAAGTCTGGCAGGGACTTGGCAATATTCAATGAGTCCAGTTCCATGGAATCTTCCATTATAAGGCGAACACTACGCCGGTGATCATGAGCGAACAAAGGCCGTGGTCGGCTGAGCGCGCATTCCGCGGTGTCTGGAGTGTAGCCACAAAAACCATAGAAATCAAATCTGCCGTACTCACCACCTCTATGATCTTCGAAGGCTTGAAACGCGTGTAAAAACTTGTAGAAAAAAGGCCTGCGAATAAAACTTGACTAACGAACAAAAATAAGGACTATTCTTGCTTGCGGCTAAGACACTTGATCTTAGCCAAAAGGCCGAGAAGCGATCTATTTAACAGACAGTACTGTTTCGGTTAAAATTTTTTCTTTTTTTAATCAACTTTATTTATACAATGATTAGTGTTATATACAGAACAAAACTCAATTAAAACTCACTTAAGTGAATTAACGGTAAAGGGCGCGCTGTGCAGTGCACCGGTGAAGGAGACACAACACAAGGGAAATTAGCGAGGTTATTGACAGTTGCCGGGTGTTATTACTATTTACAGGTTGTTTTACGGGAGGCTAGCTCCTCTGTGCAGTACCCCAGTGAAGGGGCCCCAGCTCCGGGAGAAATCTGTTTTCTCTTTACACGCGAGAAAGGTGCTCTCTGTGCAGTACACTAGCTAAGGAGACCCAGCACAGGGGTGTTATGAAGTGGGAAAAGTATGTACAAGGGGCGATTTACACTTTGATTTTGAGTTGACGGTTCTCAAAGGAGCAGAGACGTTCCGATGAGCCCAGAGAGTGGTAGATGTCGCGCCTGGCGAAAGGTGGAAAGCCGCATTTATGCGGAGGCGTATGCGGGTAGTGATTTTAGAGATTACAGATTTAGCTGAGGGCCTCCGGGATTCAGAAGTCCCGAGGTTCCGGGCGGCACACAGCTCGTTGAGCGTGAGTTTAATTAAAAAGGAGGTAAGAGTGTTTGAGCTCTCGAACTGGGTGCCTCGGAGCAGTCCCTGCCGCAATAAAATATTTGAATTAGTGAGTAAAAAGGGGGAATCATAGAGCTGATTGATCAGGTTCGACATCCAGCTCCACACAGGGGACACCAGATGACAAGAGCAGAATGCATGGGAAATTGTTTCGCGCTCGCCGCAGCCCGCGCATTGATCGCTCACGGCAAACCCCCGCCAGGTG